GTGGGAGTGGTAGCAGTAGTAGTGGTATTAGTAGCAACATTATCAATAGCAGTAGTACCATGAACAATATTAGTAGTGGAAGCATTAGCATTAGCAGCATTAGCTGCAGTATCCTTAGTAGTGGAAGCTGTAGCAGCAGCAGTAGGAGTAGTCGTAATGGTAGGAGTAGCAGCAGCGGCCAATAGTGGTAGCAGTTATGGTAAAAGGAATAACACTGAATAGTAGCAGCAGCAGCAGCAGTAGTAGTAGTAGTAGTATAGTAGTAGTAGTAGTATAGTGGTAGTAGTAGTGGTAGTAGTAGTAGTAGTAGTATAGTAGTAGTAGTAGTAGCAGCAGCGGCAGCAACAATAGTAGCAACTGCAGTATAATTAGTAGTAGTAGTAGTAGTAGTAGTAGTAGTAGTAGTAGTGCCTCGTGGTTGTAGTAGTAGTAGTGCTTGTAGTTTCCTTATTATTATTTCACTTTGGTGTCAGAATCTTCCCCTGTGGAGTCAGAATCTTCCCCTGTGGAGTCGGAATCTTGCCCTGTGGTGTCAGAATCTTCCCCTGTGGTGTTAGAATATTTCCATATTGTGTTAGAATCTTCCCCTGTGGTGTCAGAATCTTCCCCTGTGGTGTCAGAATCTTCCCCTGTGGTGTCAGAATCTTCCCCTGTGGTATCAGAATCTTCCCATGTGGTGTTAGAATATTTCAATATTGTGTTAGAATCTTCCCATGTGGTGTTAGAAACGTCCTCTGCGGTGTTAGAATCAACCACTGCATCTGATAACAATTACGAAGACCTTGAGTGGACATGCTGCCATGTCCAATCACAGATTGACCACCTCTTAAACTCACTTGACCGACGCCCTTTTGACTTAAATTGCCCTCTGGCACGGAAATGATAATTTAATTTCTTCAAACCACGCTTCGTTCTCGCTTCAATACAGATTGGCCCCATGTTAGCGGATAATGCATTTAGCTGTGTTCGGGAATTGCTTCAAAGAAGAGAAAATCGGCGGGAAGAAAGCATCTCTGTGACAGGAAGATGTTGGTGACCGACAGGGATTCCGCCTGAAGTATGAAGTTTGAGACCACAGGAAGACATATTAGAAAAAAAATATGTAAAAAGCAAAACATTAGCCTGATTACACAATAGGCTTTAAAAAGAACAAAAACATTTGCCTGATTACACAACAGCTGAGATTATGCGAATTCTAGTTTCAGTTTTTTTACATGAACTTGTAATCAAAGTGCAGAAAAAGTTTCCAATCAAATTAATATTTTAATGTTTCCGTTGAGTCTCCGGTAGACTCTCCCAGGCTTCCATATGATGTTGTAGATCCAACCTGCGATATTGCCGTGTACGTTCTACGATCTGTGGATTTCAAACGGCCTTGTTCTGCACTCACAATCGGGTAATAAGCTTGATCTATGTTTGATCTTTGTCACAAAGAAATGTGTTAAAACGCAAGTAGATATCATCACTGGCATTTGTCCTCAGGAAAGCGACGAATTTCCTTGATCTCATAAATTGATCAATGTTGTTGAATTTATAGAGCAAGTTAAATTAATTAATTGTTGAAAATTTAAAAGTGACCATTTACAGGTGACAAGGCAATCGCTATCGCATTTATTGTAACGGAGGAATATGTGATAATGTTTTAATGTAATTACTCTTTTAATGGGTTAGACGTTATTTGAAGCGATAGGTACTAAGGAGGAGGGGTGGTTACTGCAGCAGCAACAGGAGTAGTGGAGGCAGAGGTAACATCATGAGTAGTGGAGGTAGAGGGTAACAACAGGAGTAGTGGAGGTAGAGGTAACAACATGAGTAATGAGGTAGAGGTAACAACAGGAGTAGTGGAGGTAGAGGGCAGGAGTAGTGGAGGTGGGGGTAACAACAGGAGTAGTGGAGGTAGAGGTAACAACAGGAGTAGTGGAGGTAGAGGTAACAACATGAGTAGCGGAGGTAGAGGTACCTAGGAGTAGTAGAGGTAGAGATAACAACAGGAATAGTGGAGGTAGAGATAACAACAGGAGTAGTAGAGGTAGAGGAAACAACAGGAGTAGTGAAGGTAAAGGTAACAACAGGAGTAGAAGAGGTAGAGGTAACAACAGGAGTAGTGGTGGTAGAGGTAACAACAGGTTTAGTGGAGGTAGAGGTAACAACAGGAGTAGTAGTGGAGGTAGAGGGAACAACAGGTTTAGTGGAGGTAGAGGTAACAACAGGAGTAGGGGAGGTAGAGGTAACAACAGGAGTAGTGGAGGTAGAGGTAACTAGGAGTAGTGGAGGTAGAGGTAACAACAGGAGTAATGGAGGTAGAGGTGACAACAGGAGTAGTGGAGGTAGAGGTAACAACAGGAGTAGTGGAGGTAGAGGTAAGAACAGGAGTAGTGGAGGTAGAGGTAACAACAGGAGTAGTGGAGGTAGAGGTAACAACAGGAGTAGTGGAGGTAGAGGGAACAACAGGAGTAGTGGAGGTAGAGGGAACAACAGGAGTAGTGGAGGTAGAGGTAACAACAGGAGTAGTGGAGGTAGAGGTAACAACAGGAGTAGTTGAGGTAGAGGTAACAACAAGAGTAGTGGAGGTAGAGGTAACAACAGGAGTAGTGGAGGTAGAGGTTACAACAGGAGTAGTGGAGGTATAGGTAACAACAGGAGTAGTGGAGGTAGAGGTTACAACAGGAGTAGTGGAGGTAGAGGTAACAACAGGAGTAGTGGAGGTAGAGGTTACAACAGGAGTAGTGGAGGTAGAGGTAACAACAGGAGTAGTGGAGGTAGAGGTGACAACAGGAGTAGTGGAGGTAGAGGTAACAACAGGAGTAGTGGAGGTAGCGGTTACAACGGGAGTAGTGGAGGTAGAGGTGACAACAGGAGTAGTGGAGGTAGAGGTAACAACAGGAGTAGTGATGGTAGAGGTAACAACAGGAGTAGTGGAAGTGGTAAAGGCAGCAGCAGCAGAAACAGTGATGGAGGAAGATTTAGCAGCAGTAGGAGTGGTGATGGTGACTTAGGCAGCAGAGGCAGTAGTGGTGGTAGTAGAGGTAGCAGTAGCAGGTGTAGTGGCGGGGGTAAAGATAGTAGCAGCAAGAGAAGTGACAAAGGTAGAGGCAACTTCTGCATGTGTTGTGATGGCGTAGACGCAGCAGCAGGTGTACTGGTCGTGGTAGAGATAGTAGCAGGTGTAGTGATGGGGGTAGAGGTATCAGCAGTTGGAGTGGTGGGGGTAGAGGTATCAGCAGGTGTAGTGGTGGTGGTACAGATAGTAGCAGGTGTAGTAATGGGGGTAAAGGTATCAGCAGGTGTACTGGTGGTGGTAGAGATAGTAGCAGGTGTAGTAATGGGGGTAGAGGTATCAGCAGTTGGAGTGGTAGGGGTAGAGGTATCAGCAGGTGTAGTGGTGGTGGTAGAGATAGAAGCAGGTGTAGTGATGGGGGTAGAGGTATCAGCAGTTGGAGTGGTGGGGGTAGAGGTATCAGCAGATGTACTGGTGGCGGTAGAGATAGTAGCAGGTGTAATGATGGGGGTAGAGGTATCAGCAGTTGGAGTGGTGGGGGTAGAGGTATCAGCAGGTGTAGTGGTGGTGGTAGAGATATTAGCAGGTGTAGTGATGGGGGTAGAGGTATCAGCAGTTGGAGTGGTGGGGGTAGAGGTATCAGCAGGTGTAGTGGTGGTGGTAGAGATATTAGCAGGTGTAGTGATGGGGGTAGAGGTATCAGCAGTTGGAGTGGTGGGGGTAGAGGTATCAGCAGGTGTACTGGTGGCGGCAGACGCAGCGGCAGGTGTACTGGTGGTGGTAGAGATAGTAGCAGGTGTAGTGGTGGAGGTAGAGGTATCAGCAGTTGGAGTGGTGGGGTAGAGGTATCAGCAGGTTTAGTGGTGGCGGTAGAGATAGTAGCAGGTGTAGTGATGGGGGTAGAGGTATCAGCAGTTGGAGTGGTGGGGGTAGAGGTATCAGCAGGTGTACTGGTGGTGGTAGAGATAGTAGCAGGTGTAGTGGTAGAGGTTGAGGTATCAGCGAGTGTACTGGTGGTGGTAGAGATAGTAGCAGGTGTAGTGATGGGGGTAGAGGTATCAGCAGTTGGAGTGGTGGGGGTAGAGGTATCAGCAGGTGTAGTGATCGTGGTAGAGATAGAAGCAGGTGTAGTAATGGGGGTAGAGGTATCAACAGTTGGAGTGGTGGGGGGAGAGGTATCAGCAGTTGTACTGGTGGTGGTAGAGATAGTAGCAGGTGTAGTGGTAGAGGTTGAGGTATCCGCAGGTGTACTGGTGGTGGTAGAGATAGTAGCAGGTGTAGTGATGGGGGTAGAGGTATCAGCAGTTGGAGTAGTGGGGGTAGAGGTATCAGCAGTTGCAGTGGTTGGGGTAGAGGTATCAGCAGGTCTAGTGGTGGCGGTAGAGGTAGCATTAGCAGGAGTAGTGATGGTTGTAGCGACAGCAGTTGCAGGAGTAGTGATGGTTGTAGCGACAGTAGCAGCAGGTGTAGTGATGGCGTTAGTGGCAGCGGCAACAGCGTGAAGTGGTGGTCGTCGAGACAGCAGTAGGAGTAGTGGTGGTTGTAGCGACAGCAGCAGCAGGAGTAGTGATGGTTGTGGCGACAGTAGCAGCAGGTGTAGTGATGGCGTTAGTGGCAGCGGCAACAGCGTGAAGTGGTGGTCGTCGAGACAGCAGTAGGAGTAGTGGTGGTGGTAGCGACAGCAGCAGCAGGAGTAGTGATGGTTGTAGCGACAGTAGCAGCAGGTGTATTGATGGCGTTAGTGGCAGCGGCAACAGCGTGAAGTGGTGGTCGTCGAGACAGCAGTAGGAGTAGTGATGGTTGTAGCGACAGCAGCAGCAGGAGTAGTGATGGTTGTAGCGACAGTAGCAGCAGGTGTAGTGATGGCGTTAGTGGCAGCGGCAACAGCGTGAAGTGGTGGTCGTCGAGACAGCAGTAGGAGTAGTGATGGTTGTAGCGACAGCAAGCAGCGAGGAGTGAAGTGATGGTTGTAGCGACAGTAGCAGCAGGTGTAGTGATGGCGTTAGTGGCAGCGGCAACAGCGTGAAGTGGTGGTCGTCGAGACAGCAGTAGGAGTAGTGATGGTTGTAGCGACAGCAGCAGCAGGAGTAGTGATGGTTGTAGCGACAGTAGCAGCAGGTGTAGTGATGGCGTTAGTGGCAGCGGCAGCAGCGTGAAGTGGTGGTCGTCGAGACGGCAGTAGGAGTAGTGGTGGTGGTAGCCGCAGCAGCAGCCACAGCAGTAGGGCTAGAGATGATGGTAGATGCAGCAGCAGGGCTAGAGATGATGGTAGAGACAGCAGTAGGAGTAGTGGTGGTGGTAGAGGCAGCAGCAGGGCTAGAGATGATGGTAGAGGCAGCAGTAGGAGTAGTGGTGGTGGTAGAGGCAGCAGCAGGGCTAGAGATGATGGTAGAGGCAGCAGTAGGAGTAGTGGTGGTGGTAGAGGCAGCAGCAGGGCTAGAGATGATGGTAGAGATAGCAGTAGCAGGCGTAGTGGTGGAAGAGATAGTACCTGGAGGAGTAGTGATGCCATTGTATTTTTAGGGCTATTGAATTTTCTTTACCGTTTTATTTTGTACTGCCGTAATTAGTATTGATGTGTAACCTTAGCTATTTTTAGAAGATGCATGTTAAATATGTAACAGTTCTTTGTTGTTTCTTGTTTTAACACCAACATATTTCACGAGCAGACTGCTGGTTAACTTGTTGTTCCAACTTGGGTATAAACATAATATAACAGAGTTGCAATACGCACTCTTGACAAAGGTATGGCAGGAAGCAAAGCCTATCTTTCACAAAGTAGGTGACATTGTCATTGATACGTTAAAAATAGCACCTTCTTCAAGAATGCATCTTGCGTCCCGAGCCTTCAATATGCTTGACATACTTGTGATCAGACATTCCATTTCAGACTGCTTTAAGTGGGCAGTAGCTTTTCATAACACGCGAGGGAGAAAATCATTAAACAAGCTCCGATTTCACTTTCACATTGCTAATTCTCAGTGAACAATGGTTTTACCGAAGTAAAGACAATCAGCTCCCGCCGTAACGGTAGTGTCTTACTTGCAAAGTGCTCTCTCGTGATGAGCCATACAACACAATAATCAATGTTGGATTGAGTTAACGGCGGGTAAGTACTAACAGTTCGCTCTCGTGGAAGACATCCACAGCAACATGAAATGGTATAAAAACGATGAGCACGTGGACGGTGGCGACCACGACGACGATGATGGTGATTATGAAGGTGCTGGTGCGGATGTTGATGCCGCTGCTGCTGCTGCTGATGATGGTCGTGATGATGAAGACGCTGAAACTGCTGCAGCAGCTACAGCTGCAGCTGCTGCTGCTGGTGATGGTGATGATGACAATGCACAATTGATGGCGGTGATGATGATGATGATGATGATGATGATGATGATGATGATGATGATGATGATGATGATTACTACATATAGTGTGTACACTTACATTTTCTCGGTATATATTTCTGTGTCTCACAATAAGATTTTTGTGGTTTATCATAGTGTACGAATAAAAATGACCACCCATATGAATTCAAATATTTATTCCTATGAGCGGTGAGACCAACAGTCATCGAATATTTTACAGGTTTGAAAATGGCAAATACGTCATTTGGGTCAATGGAGTATTGTAATATCAGAAAATAATGTTGATCTGTGTTTCAGGGGACGAAAGGTGTCCGTCTAAAGCAAGAAAATGCAACGACTCTCTTCCATCACTCCGTCCACCATGTCAAGCAACGCAGCACAAAACGTGCATATTATAATGTACAAAGTCCTGACAGGTAAAGCAGCTTGCAAACATGAATAAATACAACAAGCGTCAACAGGTCTGAATATACTAGCTATGCGATGAGCAGTTAAAGGCTGGTTTGCTGGTTAAAGTTTTGGCATTTGGTCAAAGAGGATTATAAACAGCGAAAAGTGCAAGATTAAAAATGATGGAAAAATAGTTATCCAAAACTGTCTGAACGGAATCATTTAACGGAACCATTTAACCTGTGCACATGTCTCTCTTCGAGAACCGTTAAAAGACTATAACACAACTGGAACAAGATTGGGCAAACCAGGATTGTCCCGGGTCCGCAGTTTATTCTGGGCTGCTGTAAGTTGTCATCGTTTTCGTATATTTAAAATAACTATATTTATGGGAATAAATGACAGTCTACCCATGCACGTGTTCTATATGCCACACACAATGGTTCACATCAGATTCAGCTGAACTGAAGATGTTACATTATTTGCGTAATCCCTGCAACAGTATACGCAAGTGTAAGTCATGATTTCAGAATATCTGTATAAGACTCTTTGAATTGTGTCGAACGAACCAAGTGATAAAATCAACAATTATAAGGACGAATTAATTGATTATTATCGATATTTAAAAAAATGTATTTGTTATCATTTGTCCCAAGGTATGTCACTTAGTAAAAACAGTAACTACAAACAAAAAATGTCTCTAACTGTGATCTGCAAAAGAAAGCATTTCTCGGGAATGGGTCACAACCAAATCTCAAACTAACGTGCAGACTGTGTATAGTTGGATGAACCGCTTTGGGGTCTCACGTTCCTGGAATTCAGCTTAGTACCTACACCTATCTCAGCCACGCCTCTGGGCTACCCAATCGGCACTGATATAATACTGAAGGCAGTGATGTAGATAATCGAATGCTAATCCCAGATAAACGTCTCCAGCATTATATTAACCTGTCCAATTCTTGGAGACAATATACATTGTTCTAATTGCAAAAGCAACAGAATGTTGAAAAGAGCAATATTTACATACATACATACATACATACATACATACATACAAATATTTGTTAAGCGCTTTTTATCAATCTAATTGCTCAAAAGCGCTATCTGAGTCCACTTTATCCATGTGCAGAGGTGAATAGGTGCGTCTTGAGTCCACTTTTAAAATTTGACAGTTCTGTTTCGGAACGAAGGATGGATGGTAAATTGTTCCAGAGGAAGGGTCCTGCTCTAGAGAAAGACCTGTCCCCATATGACTTAGTTCTAGTTTGTGGTATTTCAAGGAGAGACTGGTCCCTTGAGCGGAGTGATCTAGTTGGGTGATATGGTGTAAGGAGATCCGAGAGGTATTTTGGAGCTAGACCGTTTAGACACTTGAAAACAAGGAGCAGGATTTTGTAGTCGATTCTGAAGCGAATTGGAAGCCAATGTAGGGTTAAAAGAATTGTGTCTTAGAAAAAGAAAATTTGCAAAACAAAAACAAACAAAATCAGTATCCCCAAATTTTGCCATCGTTTGCTACAAGTGTCAAACTACACCGTGTTGATTGACATATAAGTGTAGGATATTTTACACAGACTACCCCTGTTGCTTTGAGCGTGTTGGAAGGTAGACAGACTTTGGGCTTGTATGGCCAGACTCGCTGACATCGTTGATGTCATCACATCCTATTTGTGTTGACCGATGCTCATGATGTTAATCCCTAGATTGTCTGATCGAAACTCAATCGGCCGTTAGTTTGTTCTTTAAAGCCACACACAGAAACATGTCAGCTCAATGACGGTGGCCTATATTGCATCGACTCTTGAGGATCTGACCTACAACAATAGACAAACAAACAACAGAATGCATTTCACGCATTTAACCGAAAAGACGACTTCATCTCTTTTTATGCTGAACAGGCTCGTTTAAATCAACACAAACGTTGTTTCATTTATAATTCAAAGGTCAATGACTATGTTTAAACATTTGCGATCGATTTGCATTTCTGATGTTGATCAATATTCATAAGCAAACAGCCATTAATAGCAACCGTGATCTAGGATTCGACTAGCCCTCTGCTACTTAATTAACCTCCGTGAATGTTCGTGAAGACATATCAGTTCGATGAGAAGGCTGTTCACCATGTTCGTCCCTACACAAGGATTGGTGCAGATGAATATTTCGAAATTAACCTGCAGTGGTGGAGTGACTTGGAATGACGGATTATCTGTACCTGTTGAATTAGTTTGCAAGTCTGAATAGCCGAGGTGCGTACAACGTTTTCATCAGGGGCAGACAATCCATAATTTGAATTGTGGGACGATTATGTTACATACCATTAGAAGTTGCTTCCTTCCGAGAAAGAGTAGAATGATATTGGTATTTCATGACATCATCTCGAATCTTGGGTTGAAATGGTGACACATCAAGGCTAGTAACGGAATATAAAGTGTATGACGTCATATTAATCATTTGCATACATGAATTAACGTGACGTCACGAAATTTTGACTCTCCATAAATATATGAATATTTGGACAAAAGACTACAGCATCATGGAAAAAAAGAAATGCGCAGTGGAATTATTGGACATATATACTTATCAACATTTGCTTAGGGCTAAAATGCTGGTACGATTTTGCTCCTTAGCTAATACCGAGTAGTATAATTAAAGTTACGTTCATGTTCATGGTAATATGCTATCATGAAATGAAATCAAAATGGAATGACAACTGTTTTATCTTTTCCATGGCGAAACAAATATATTTCCTTTAACATTTGTATCCGATGTGTTAAAGGGACTGTGATGATGAAGATATCAACGGGTGTTAAGAACTACATCAGATTTGTTGCCCAGGATGCGTCTGATGCTGTACAGGGGCCTGTTTCAAAGAATTGCATAATTATAACGTCCTCTACTTTATCGGGGCCGTAAAGCTACAAGCATTGCGAAAGACAGTCACACGCGGATCAAGCTATGCCATCATGTCGCTTCAAGGACTGGACACATGCAGGACATTCACCGTTTGACAGACTAGTTACATTCGTTGAACTGACGTCACAAAAAAGGCTTCTAGCGGAACAGAAATGTACGACGTCATGTTATTTGCATGAATAAAATTAAGGACGTTCACTGACAAGGCGCTGGACAACCTAGTTAAATTCACTGAATAATCGGCATTTCATATTTACATCTTATGCAGAATCCCGCGTAGATCTCGAGAGGGAAGTCTTTTATCTTCAACAACAACCAGAAACCTTCTGTTTCACTTTTCAGGCCATACAACTTCATCCAAGTGAAACAATCCGCACGGTTGTCCTCCTCGACACGAACCTCATAAACCTGGTGTAGTTCTCGTTGAGACAGCATCCCTTTGAAAAAGTGAGAATGTGCCGGTGTGATATGTCATTCTGCCTGCTTGACACTCATATCTGTGCCGTCCACAAGCGCAGAACCATCAACAAAATCAACATTGACATTTGGGATTATGTCCTTCATCCTTCATTCGTTCAAGAAAACTGTGGAATGGCTGGCTCTGTAAAACGAGCTTGGATGTTAGGGCTTGTCTTACGTGATTCTCCGTGTGAGGGTTCAATGCCCTGAATTTCGAGTTTTGTCCAAAACACAAACAGAAAGCTGGCACAACATAAGTATTCGTAGTTTGGCTAATGAATGTACAACCCTGAAGTACAGATTTTCACAAGTATACATCTGCGTTCCTTCATATGGAGTTTATTTCTAATTCTAAGAAGCTACATACCTGACCTTCTGCGAG